GTGCGTCGGTCGGGGGCGCGCTCGGGTAACCTGTACCCCACGTAGTCGCCGGTTACCGAACGGACTAAGTTCCAGGTACCTAGACTGGGGCTGGTGTGGGGAGGTTGGACCCCGAGTCGCACAGGTGGTGCCGAGGGCCGTGCCCAGAGCTCGCTTCCCCTTCCTGTAGAGAAGGCCCAGCTCCAAAGATGCCCTGCTCGTCCCCGTCACGCCGGTCCCCTCAAGAACGGCATCCTCCAGGCCAGGCGTTACTCTTTCTCCTCGTCTATACCGCCCCGGTCCCCGATTAACCTGACTTCTCCCTCTTTCCCTCGTGATGAGGGGGTCATACAATTTGGGAGAAGGGAGAGTGCCCCTTTTAAATGGCTCCTAAATTGGGGTGATCATTCTGTGGGTCGGAGCCGGCTTGTTTTTCTAGAGTGCTGTCCCTCGGAGAAATGACTTCCCCCCCGTGTAACTTGCCTCGTGCGCCCATGACGTGGACGTGACGCAGCTGGACGCTACCCCTTTCCGTTCCGTGACGTCAGCAGGGCACATGTTTCCGTGTTTGTCATCCCATCTTAATGGCAAGAAACTGGACAACGCTTTAGACGTCTTTGTATTCCCCAGGTGGCCGATCAAAGGACCTGATGTGACCTCAGTTGGAGGCAGCAGACACCTGTAAAAACTGTATTGCTGCATTTTCCTTCTGTAATATGTCAAAGTCAGGAAATACAAATGGCCTAACTAGCATTCAGGGGAGGCTGGCCACCGTGAAGTTTTGCCTGCCTGCGATCTGTTACAGTGCTGAGACGTGTAAAAGCTGCTGGGTTGGGGGGTGGGGTGGGGTGTGTATGGGGGGGTGATCCCCGCAGCCATGCCCCTGGCTCAACAGGGCCGCACCAAAAGACCATCATCATTCCGTGACCTCGGATTTTGGAGTAGTTTCCCCTCTCCTTTAGAGCAGTCACAGCACCTCATGCTTGAAACAGATTTTAACACTGCATGAAACCTTGAACTGTCAGAAAATAGTATTTTGGCTGTTCTGGAAACAAAGACAAATTCATTCCTTCAGGTGTCATTCTAAGGTCATGACAGTTGCTGAAATGGAATGGGTTGTTGCCAACCTTAAGTATAGTTTGGTTTCTGGAGTAGGTTTATTCCCTTTAGCATTTTTAAATGTATTTTTATTGATAGTATTACAGATCCCCCCCCCCCCCATCCTCCCTCTCAGGTCTTCACTACCCTATTGCCCGTGTGCATGGGCTATGCTTATAAGTTATTTGGTTTATCTCTTCTCCCTCTAGCATTTGATTGGTGCAGTCAGTCAGGCCAATTTCAGCAGTAGGCAAAGAGTAGTTGTTTCTAGTTGTAAAGCAACCATGAGTCTAAATTCATGCCATTTTGTCCAAATTTTAAGAGATGTATACTTAAAAAAATTCACTTCGATGCTTTTCTCTTTGGTGATTGAAGTTATGTTTATTTGAGAGGAAAATGAGAATAGTGGACTTTGAGGGGGATCTGGATTTGAATTCTGATCCTTCAGCTTGCTAGGTTGGGGACTTTGAACAAGTTAGTCTTGTTGAGTATTAGTTTTCTTATCCATGAATGAAGTGGAAACTAATATTAAACAGAAGACAGGATTGTTCAGGGGAAGTAAATGAGATTACAGATTGAAGTGCGTAGGACAGTGCTTGATACTGAATAGATGTTCAGAATGTTCTATTTTCATTTTTCATAGAAATGAGAGATACAATTATAATAGATATGTCCCATAATTAAAATTATGGAAAAACAAGAATAATTTTTTTTTTAATGCTCACCCAAGGATATTTTTTCCCCATTGATTTTCAGAGAGAGTGGAAAGGAGGTGGGAGGTCGGGGAGAGAGAAGCATCAGTGTAAGAGAGACACAGCGATTGGTTGCCTCCTGCATGTACTCACCAGGGGCTAGAGATGAACCTGCAACCCAGGTACATGCCCTCCACCAGGAATCAAACCTGAGACCCTTCCTGAGACCCTTCAGTTCTCAGGCCGACGCTCTAACCACTAAGAAACACAGACCAGGGAGAGGAAGAATAATTTTGTAATGTAGGTGAGGTCCTTCAGCTTTTTTTCCTGGATAAGTGTTTTTGTATTTGCATATGATTTAGGTAATCATCCTTTCAAGAACTGTGACATCAGTCGTTAGAAAAAAAAGTGGAAACATTGCAGAATAGAAAAAAATAGGTTTCAAAATGATACTTTAGATTAGTATACTTTTCAAAGGCATTATAAAAGTTATCTGTGTCATCTTTAAAATGGGAATTCCTTACTACCCAGGGGTATGAAGATCAACTGCAATAATGTATATGGAAGCTCTTTTTTTTTTTTTAAATCCTCACCCGAGGGTATTTTTCCATTGATTTTTAGAGAGAGTGGAAGAGAAAGGGAAAGACAGAGAGAAATGTCAAAACACATTGATTGGTTGCCTCCTGCACGCACCCTAACCAGGGCCGGGGCTGAGGAGGAGCCTGCAACCAAGGTACATGCCCAAGATACTTCTGAGTGTCATCACCCAGAAGGGTCACAGTATTATTATTTTTTGAAAGATCACTGTAGTTCTTACCTTTGTTACTGTCTGAAATTATTAAAACAGGTACTAGTTTTCAACATTTATATTAGCAGGGACACGTAAGTCCTCATGTGGTATAATATATGAAAACTAGAAGCAAAACATCATTTACTTGTAACTTGCAGGTAATTAATTGCTTTAGATGTGGGATTATCCTTTCAGATTGAGAAAGAAAATGATCATTTAAGTTGACTTATTCACCTCTGAAAGTAGAGGCTTTCATTTAGAGATCTATTAAAAGGAATTCATGTACTCCCTCCCCCAGCCCCATGGGTTTCCAAGTAGTTTAGATATGATTTATTGGTTTTACTTTTGTATTTTCAAGTTTAAGGACTTCTTAAGCACCTTACAGTACAGTCAAAGACTTCTAGATCCACGTTAGTTTGTGTTGCTGAATATCTGGACAGGTATATGTTTTCATGATTTAATTGTTAAGTAGATTTTTGCTGCATCTATTCCTTAGATGTGCTATCCTCTACCAAGTGTTTGAGGGCATATTATCTTCTCTATATACCTGAATATTTCTCTAGCTTTTGTCTCCTTATTTATTTATTTATTTATTTATTTATTTATTTAAAAATGCTTATTGAGTGTTTAGTTTGTGATCTCTCTCCAGTGTTATAATACACTGTGCAGTAACAGTTATGAAAATTATGTAGAGAAGTATATCAGAAGAAAATAATTTCTAGTAAGTGACTTGCAAGCAGGTTATGCTTGTTCTAGGTTTTTATATAGTATTATCAGCCAAGTTCTTACTCACAAAGCGAGGATTCCTAACCTACTGGTGTGTGGGTTTTGTGTGTTAAGAGGGAGAGGATTGTCAGCGAAGGCTTCTTAAGGCCTCAACTAAAGTAGAACCGGCCAGTTGCAAGCTGAATGGGAGAGTTTTAAGTGGAGTGTAGCATTGTAGAAATCAACTTTGGAAAGGAGGAGGGAATTGGATTTCAAGGGTTGCCTCTGTTCCTGAAAAGCAGTGGTGTAGTCTCTGTCCTAAGTAGGTGAATAGCAGGGAGATGATTTCATTGGGAGAGGCTGCTTAAGACAGGAAAATGAGGTATTTATTCATACAAGAGAAACGTGTGTGCTGTGCTGGTTTTCAGGGAGCTTGGTGTATGTAGTTCTTTTGGATACTCTGATCACCGTTCTTTCCTTCTGCTTTCAGTGGTGATTTGCAAGTCGAAGTTAAAATGTCCCCAGAAGTGGCCTTGAACCGAATTTCTCCAATGCTCTCCCCATTTATATCTAGTGTGGTCCGCAATGGAAAAGTGGGACTGGATGCTACAAACTGTTTGAGGATAACTGACTTGAAATCTGGGTATGTAACTCAACCAATCCATCTTTTACCTAATGAAAAGCCTTTTTTGCCAGACTCATAAAAATTGGCCACAGACATTCATCAAGTCATAATTTTATCGCATATTGATTCAGTTGGTTTTGTCCAGTTCTTGACATTTTATGTTTTCAGTCGTTTTATTTGTGTTGTGGGCCATTGCTTTATGATCATTGCTTTATGTCTTTTTGGGAGTGTATATCTTTGCTAACAGACTACCGTGTCGTGTTTCGCAAGTGTACTTTTCAGTCACTGACTCGTTTTCTAGTTATGTCTTCTGTAATTCAGTAAGAGTTGGGTTTTGAGATTCTGAATTTGACATCATTGAATAATCTCTCCTAATAAGAAAATTATAATACCTAGCCCAAATGAGTCATTTTCATAATGTGGTTGAAATGGTAAGATCTCATGCCTACAAAATACTCAACTTTTTATTTTGAAATAAATTTAGATTTACAGAAAATGGACAAAAATTTTATAGAAAATTAACACGATGCTTCCTTAAGGTCTACTGTGGTACCTTTGACATGTAGTGTAATAAATATGGGTTGACTGAATGAATGGGTGAGATGTTTTCCTAGAGAAGTTGCTTGGTTTGGGGATCAGAGTGGTTTGAACTTGTGGCTTGGAGGCATGCTTACTGGTCTGGTAGTTTATTGCTTAAATTCTGTTACACATGATCCTTTTAAATGACATTCTCTGACAAGTGG